ATACAATGAAAGCGGTAAAGAAAGTAGTAAAAGAGAGAGAATAGAGAAGGAACCTCTGAAGCGAGCTTTTTATTAACTCTTCAAAACTTGAGGACACTTTTTGGCAATCCCCTCGCTCTACAAGCACGCTCCTCACCAGCAAAAGAAGAAAATACCTTTCTACCGAGTGCCGGATGTCTCAAAAGGAGACTTCCTTAACCGATTTCTACCTTAAACGGAAATCGGAAAGCTTACTCGAACTCTGGAAAGTGCTCAGAGTTATCCTGAAGTCTTAGGAGAGCTTCTAGGATGAGAGAAGGGTGTGAGAGTGTGTGAAATGAGGGGGGGGGGGAGAGGCTCCTATTTATAGGAATTCGCGTTAGGCAGGCCGGGACGGCCGGTTGGGCTTCTGACAGGTGAGACGGCCGTCTGAAAAATCGGGACGACCGTCTCAGGCTCAGAGAAAGGCGAGACGGTCGTCTGGCCAAACGAGACGACCGTCTCGACCTTCAGGGAAAGTGAGACGGTTGTCTGGCCAAACGGGACGACCGTCTCGAGCCTCTTGGCAGATTTTCCTATTTTTTCTTATTTTTTGTGTACAGAAATCCATCATATCCTTACATGGAGCCTAGTGAACATGCCTAGGGGCCTAAAGAAGTCTTGTCCATCTTTGAACGGAGGTTTTCTTGTCTTTATTGAGAAGCAAGCAAGATTTTGGGTCTACACCTATCCTCTGAAAAGAACAAATTAGCTGATACATTATGTAAACCCACTGTCCAATTCTAGTACAGTTGTAGTCGTCAAGGGAACATTTGAATATGAAAAAGCTAAAAACACAATAGGATTCCATTGACTGACTCAAACTCCAGAATTTATCTTTGAAGTCTGGTCTCTCTTCTTCTTCTTGATCAATCTTCCTTCTCTTCTTTTAAACATCTGATCTTTCTCTCAAAATTCTTGTTGCAAGAATGTTCAAAAGATCAAAATCTAGGAGAAAGAAGAATAAGGGGGAATCTTTCTCAACTGCTGCAAATCCCAGAGGTCACTTGGAAACATGGTTTAATGGTGACATTAACAAGATGAACACCTTCATCACTAACTTTAGTCAGAAGTAGCTTGTAATTCCCAAGTATATTTGATTTTCATGGCTCGACTATGAAGGTTTTATGCCCTTAAGAAGGCATTTGAAAAATTAGAAGCTGAAAACATTCATTGAATACATTGGGAACATTTAGCCTGATCTTGTTCGTGTTTTCTACTCTAATATCTCAATTGATGGCTCAACAATCAGGTCATAAGTAAAAGGAGTTGATATGGTTATCACTCCTTCAGTATGGGAGAAGCTGGTCTCCAAGATGAAGGAGTCAATGTGTTCAAGGGGAACGTCTCTAAGCTACCAGACTTCAACAAGATTCAATTCTTTAGTTCTTGCCTCAAAGATCGCAATGACTCGGTCAGAATTCTGAATGCAGGGAAAATGAGGCTAGAACAATGGTTGTTGGCCTTCATCATTGCATGGGTGTTGATGCCTAGGGGGAGCAACCATGCTCTGCTTAATGAACGAGACTTGACCCTTATGTACTGCATCTAAAATAACATTCAGGTTAATTGGGTTTATGTGATTAAAGATCACATGATCAAGGCAAAAAGGTTTAGTGATTTTCGCTTACCCTATGCTATGTTACTTAACAAATTCTTCAAACATTTTGCAGTTGACTTAATAGGTGAATATGTAGAATCTCCAAAATCTTCAAATGAGATTGATGATTCTACGTTCTAGAAGATGAGGTTCATCAAAGTTGATGGAGAATGGATCTCAAAAGCGAAGCTGAAATGACTGAAGATGAGGATGAAGAGGATCCTGAACATGCTAAAATCCCATCACCTCCAACTGCAAAAGTTCCTCAATATGTTGATTTTTAGAACATGGAGATCATTCCATATTTTGCTCAATCGGATCGTGGAACTCCTCTCTCTCAGTTTGAGCGCACCATGCTTTCACAAATGTCTCCTGCAAGAAAATCAACACAAGAACATGCAGATGACATACCAACACTACCAGCACACCAATACTCAATTCTCCAATCTCAATAATCAAATTGTTGATTTATACACAAAACTGGAGGATATGCAAATGAATAAAGGATAATGCGATGATTGAACAAGTCACGACAAATGGGGTCCCTCTTTTTATCACAACTCTTTTCTATTGTTTTTCTGTTTTCTTTATTTCTTTTGGGTCTGTAATACCTTACTTGACCAAGAACATGTTGAACCTCTGATATAATATGCATGCTTTATTTTGATTAAACTATTTTTTTCTCTATTTTTGATGAAGTCAAAGGGGGAGAAATAAATATTCAATAAACTCAGTAACACAGAAATACCTAGTGACTTCTCTATAGGATTCAGAAAGGAGTTTGTCTTCATCAAATAGGGGGAGATTGATGATGATTGAAGATCTTGAAGATTTGATGAAGTCAAAGATTCATGGAATAAGGGAAGATTTGATGAAGTCAGAGGATTTATGGGATATGGGTTATAGTGCTTAGTGAGTTTGCATCAATATTAAATAGGTATAATCATCTATTCTTTTCTACTACATGAGGTTCTAACATTTGAAAGGGATAAAAATGCCTCTAAGCTTTTTAATATGTTAAAAATCCTTTTAATTGGTTAATATGTTCTTAAGTCTCGGATCTAACTAATATATTTTTCAGATTAATCAATTAAAATTAGTTAAAAACACTTATGACACATTTTTAACTGATGTATTTTCAAAATAATCGATTAAAACCACTTAAAGCATGTATTTTCGTTGTTTTAATTGATACATATTCAAATTAATAGATTATTTTCAGTAAAGAAGTTTTGGAAAACCTTCTGTCACTATTTTAACTGATACATATTCGAATTAATCGATTAAAAACACTTAAGAAAGTTTCAGAAAATGTTTTGTTTGTATTTTAATCGATGTAACTTCGAAATAATCGATTAAAATTACTTAATTTTTTTTTAAATGTTTTAATCGATTAAACCAAGTTTTTATCAGTTAAAAACACTTAAGAAACTTTAGAAAATGTTCTGTCAGTTTTTTAATCGATTAAACTTTGAATTAATTGATTAAAATCACTTAAGGATTTTTGGGGTAATTGTTTTAATCGATTAAACTTCATTTTTATCAGTTAAAATATTTCTAGAAAGTGATGTAGAACATTTTAATCAATTAAATGATATTTTCATCGGTTAAAACCGTTAGAGTCAAGTTATTTTAATCGATTAAAAGGCGAAATAACCGATTAATTAAACCACTTTGTTAGAAAAATTTCTATATAAACAAATTTGAAACACACATTTTAGAAATCATTCAAGCAATTATTAAAGATCATTTCTAGAGAGAAGCGTGCTATTTTCAAGTGGAAATTTTTTAAGTTCTTTCTTGAGGCATTTTTGTATTCTTGCTTGTGAAGAAACTCAATCTGCAGTGGGATTTCTGCATCTGCATAACCGAGTTTAATTGTTCTAGTTTCTTCATTCTTTCATTTCTATTTCAATTCTCTTCTGTCTTGGTTTCTGGAAGATTGGGCACTGGTTCTGCAACTAGAACTTGGTTGCAGGCTCGGTTTAAGAATTGGAATTTGGTTCTTAGTACATGTTGGGTATTTTGTAATTCTGTTCTGTAATCAAAACAATTTCAATCTAGTGAAACTCAACTGGAATTTGGTTGAGAACTGGACGTAGCCCAATGGTTTGGGTGAACAAGTATAATTCTTGGTGTTTCTTTTACTCTTCCATCACTTTCTTTAATTTAGCTTGAACCTTATTCAATTCTATTTGATTTTCTTGGTTTAATACTTGATCAAATTTCTTAATCTTTGAAATTGTTAATCTGTATATGTAAATTGTGAAAATTTTTGGAAAGATCAATTTACCTCTTATTGATCTCAACCTATAAAACTAACATGAAAAAGGAAGTAAATATAACATTACAGTAAACATAACATTACAATAAACATAACTTATTCTTATCTTATTTAATTTTTTCTTTTACATTAATAGAATATTCATTTGAAGTCATTGTATATTAAAATTTTAAAAAAGTGACGATATGTTTAATATAGGAGTCAAGAATACTACTTGTGTATACTTCTTATATGTTTCTATTTAACAATTGAAATTTTGTATTTGTTTTTGGAATTTTAAAATTATATTTTTTCTTTAACTATAACTTCTATGGTTGAAGAAAATAATAATAATTACATTTTTTTGTCAATTACTCCCTCCATTTTGCTTTATGTATGGTTTAAACTTTTTGATAATTTTTTGAAAGAACTGTCATTTACATCTATCAATGCAATAATCATTTTATTATTATTAAATATTATCATAAATAAATACCCAAACTAATATAAATTGATTCATTGTTAATCACAAATAAACTAGAAAAAATATTATTCAACAATAATTAATTCATGTATTATTCCCTTGTCGACAAAGGAAGGGATGAATCTATCCACACAAGCTTCAAGACTCATTAGGGAGGTTCCTTGATTGGCACTTTGCGGTGGAAGGGGTTCTTAACTAGTTTCAAGGATCGTTTGTGTTCGGTAATGCACCTAATGTTTGAAAAATAGGTACGCCACGATTTAGCAAGGTATCTGTTGGAAGCCCCATATCGTCTACCTCATGTCATTTGGTATGATTTAAATACATGTTAGGCTACTCCACATATTGTCAATTGGTTCTATGTTGGAACCTTAACATGATATCAGAGCCAAAACCTAACATCTTTCCGGTTATTGTCTTGGGTCAAAAGTTGTCATTTCGTTGGGTCAAAAGTACCCTTTGCTTGGTCCAACAGGCTGCGTTGGAGGGGGCGTGTTGGAAGTTCCACATCGCCTACCTCATGTCATTTGGTATGGTTTAAATATATGTTAGGCTACTCCACATATTGCCAATTGGTTTTATGTTGGAACCTTAAAAGTATCTAAAGGTTCTTGTGGAGAAGAACAAAACATGGCATGCAGAAGCTTTGTGAGGGAAGATATCCATTAGCTACTTCTTGCTTGTGTGAATACAATAGAAGGATTTTCTTGAGGTTTGGTTAAGGTTTGAGGGGTGTGGGTGTGGCCGTGGTAGCTTCTTGGAGGAGATTCTTCAAGAACTTTGTAACTAATTATCTGTTGTGGAAGTTGCTTTTGAAGGTGTTTAGGAAGGTATCTATGGTGATTGGTGGTGGTTCTTTATGGCCAGGTGGTGAGAAGCTTGTGCAAGAAGACTTTAAGATGAGCAAAGGAATAAAAATCAAGAAAGTAGAGGAAGGGAGGGAAAGGAAGAGACTAAGGATTTTCCTTTCCATAATAAAAGACCACATCAGTAATCCACAATAAAAGTCTCACATTACAGATTTACCTTTCCATAATAAAATGGGATATAGACTAATAATGTTTGAGGGCAAGAGGAAAATAATATAGTAATGCTACTTACATCTAGTAATAAATATTTTTCAGTGTAGTATTCGATATACAAGTTGCCACTAACTAAACAAAAGTTTGAAGGTTTATTCAGTTATCTCTTTGTGTTTAACACCTTGTGCTCGGAGGGCAATCTATGTTATTGTGTACAAAAACTCATCAAATCAACACAATCATACAAGTGATATTAGTATGAGAAAATCCCATAAAAAGATGTGATTCACTTGTTCTGATAGTTTTAGAGGCCCAAAAATAAAGAAGATTAAATGGTTCAAGGATTTTAAAGGATATAGTTAGAATATTATTTAGTTTATATTTTAACTTCTCTTTAGTGTTAATGGTAATTTTTAGGTGTTTTAGAATAACTTGGTTAAGTTTCGTATCACATTCAAAGAGAGTAAAAACTAGACACCATTATGTGTAATTAGAGATCCCTGATTTACATGATTTAGCAGAAAAGAACCAATGCAGATTGTTGAGTGAAGACATGACTGTGTTGCATGCAAGGATAAACGGGAGAGTGTGATCTCATTCGGTGTTGTGGCATAACACTTGATGGCAAGGATAGTAAAATAATTGAAACTATAGAAATTATAATGAGATGTTTAAACTACAAAAGCTAAAAGGAAAATGTGTTGCAATTCTTGGAACCAAAAGGGTAATTGAATCTTACAAAAGCTATCTTAAAAGATATGTTAAATAGTTTTCAAATAATTGACAACATAAATATTTTTGCATATTGAATATATAAATATATATATATATATATATATATATATATATATATATATATATATATATATATATATATATTACAAAGGCAACAATAGAACATGAATGAAATTCTTGGTTTACCTCGATCTTTTCTTTCTTTGCAACAAACTCCTAATCTTTGATAGCAATTCCAATTTTCCGATCAAGGCTGATAGTTGCCTCTCCTTGAAGTTTACTATCTAACCAAAAGCATGCCACGTAGTTCACCACTCTCCTATGTTGTAAATACAAATTGACCTTTTGTGTTATTTTCATTCTGGTAAGGTTATTCCCATAAGGAGATGTTACCTGGGAAAATAAACAAATCAAATTAAAGTAAATGATCACATTGAATCCCATAGAATTATGCTCACTCTCACACCTTAAACCAATATACTTATTTCACAATCACAACATTAGAAATTAAAAAAGGGGTCTCAGCTCTCAAATTTGCAACAAGACTTTGATAGAAATTAGTCAGCTGAGAAATTTGTTTAATTTCAGAGTAGTCACAAGTCAGGACAACTAAAAAAAAGCACCCCTTAATAATGATTAACCTTGGTTCATTTGATTGGTACTCTGTTAATGGAAAATTTATTAGATACTTTCATACCTCTAATCAATCTTTAAGTTAGTTTCTCAATTCACGGAAAAAATTAACTATATTAGACTACATATCCTGTAGATATTTGTAGGAAATGTTGTAATTTCGGACTAGTTAGTAATATCTTCGACGATCTTAACATCAAATCTAACCAAGTGCAACAAAAATTTAGTTAAAGATTAATTTCCATTTATTCAATCCCCTTTTTCTTTTACCGAATTCCTCTTAGTTTCAATCATTCAAACTCTAAACTTAAAAAAAAATAAAAACTAAATATAAATAAGTAAACTTGGAAAACAAAAGTTGTCTTACTTGACTTTTTAGGATGTGTGCCCTAGAGATATGTCCAATTGAGAGTATTCAACATTATCACTATCCTGCGAACACTAGCAGAACTTTCGTAAACACCTGCCACATTTAATTACACCATATTTATCATCATCATATATACATTTTGGGTGAGGAAATGGAAGGAGAAAATAGAGGAAGAAGAACTATAACATAAATAGAGGAAGGAAAACTAGAACTTAAATAAAGACAATGGGTGTTGACAATAACGAAGAGCGAACTGTGCAATGTGGAAGGCGATTATGCTTTGTAGTGTTAAGTAGTAAATGTTGATGTAATTATGCTTTTAATTGTTATCTAACCATTTGAATTATGTTGATTCTAATTTATTTTTCTCCCAATGTAGGATGAATTTGTAGAACACCTTGGTACAAGAAGGAGTAGAATTCTCAAGATAATTGAAGCAAAATTGAAAGAAGGAAGAAGATTTTCAACCTGAGATTCACCCAAGTCAAAAGGATTCTTGCTTGAGCGAAAATACGTTAAAGTTTTCTGGAATTTATTCGCTCAAGCGAATCATTTTTTGCTTGAGCGAGAATACGTTAAAACTCTTGGGAATTCAACTGCTCAAACAAACAGTTTGTCGCTTGAGCGAAAGTCAGCATTTTTCGCTTGAGCGAATGTGCCGTTTAAGCGAATGACACGTGTACCAAATTCTTCTATAAAAAGATAATACGCGTTTTGAGAAAGGAATTTAGGTTTTTGGATAGGAGGCGCGATTGGAGCTGCAATTTTCGTTCATTCTTCATTTTCTTCTTCATTTGGATTATTGTAATGGTCATCATAAGTGACTAATTTCATTCTCTTAGGATTGAGTGAACTTCCTTTGAACTCTTTTGTATCTTGCTGATATTTTGAGATATTAATCTATGTTCTTGACATTGTTATTCTTATCCTTGTGCCTTTGATTATTTTTATCCTTAATGCTCATATATATTGGAAAATATATCTTGAAATCCTTGATTAGGTTAAGAATAGTTGCTATGTTAATTGCTAGGAATGGTAATGGATTTATCAAGGTTTTCTTATGAATTTCATGTTTGAGGAATCAATGTGAATGATTTAAGTAGGTGGCATCAACATTGATAGGTTAATTAATATTCTTAATTTGACCTAGCCATTATACAAAAGAGGGAAAAATAAATAAACCAATCTTAAGTTCTTAATTTTGATCTTTTCTAAAAATACTTTATCGTTCTTTGCCATTTATTTTCAACCCAAATATTTATGAAAACCCAATTTTATGTCATTACACTTAGTAAGCAGATGACTTGGAATTTCCAATGAAACTATTCCTCGTGGGATTGACTTTTATTTAATTGAAATACTGTACTGTGATTTATAATATTGGTACGCTTGCCAAATAAACTAGCAAGTATTTCTGGTGCCGTTGCCGGGAAATGGTGTTCTTTGGAAAATCTTTGTTTAGCTTATTAAATATTGTGAATATTTTATTTTTAGTTATTTTAATTTTGTTTATTTTCTTTTGTTTCTTAATTGTCTTGTGCTAATTCTTGCTTGAGTTGTTATTTGATTTATGCTTTTAAGATGACAGGTATCTTCAGAGCAGTTAGAATTTGATCCAGAGATTGAAAAGGCCGCTCGGAGGAATCATGGTAAAAGAAGAAAGGAAACTCAAAGACAAGCAACTGGAGAATCAGTTAACTCTTCTCCAATTCTCAACTTACCAGAACTAATCATAGAAGACATGGAGGGTGAAGAAGCAAATCCACCTAGAAGAACACTCGGAGACTATGTTATGCAACAAGGTCCGAGGCACTTCTCCAGCATTGTAATATCAGCCAACAAATCCTTGGAGATGAAGCCAACATTCTTAAACTTGATTAGTGTCCATCAATTCACTAGAATGGATCACGAAGATCCCTATATTCATTTATCTACTTTCTATGAGTTGATTGGCACCATGGGGGTTCAAAGAAGAAGATATTGAAGCTGTATACCTGAGATTATTTCCTTTTTCATTGGCTGGCAGGGCAACAAAGTGGTTAAAAGCATATTCTCGTCAGAGTTTGACCATCTGGGGTAATGTAGAAAATAAGTTCTTGAACAGATTTTTTCCACCATCTCGCTGCATCAAGGCAAAATCTAACATTTTTACTTTCAGACAAGGATCAAATGAACCCTTTTGTGAAGCATGAGAGAGATTTAAATCACTGTTAAGGAGCTGCTTGAATAATGGATTTGAAGACATTGCCCAGTTGAACATTTTCTGCACTAGCCTGAGACCTGATACAAAGATGATTTTAGATACTGCAGCAGGAGGAACTATGATGTTTGAGGATGCTGAACATGCCATAAGAATTATTGATGCACTAGCCTCTACAGATTAGCAGGCTCAACATGATAGACATCCAGTTCAGAGAAAATGAATGTTTGATCTTAATACCTCAGATGCTATCCTAGCTTAGAATAAAATTCTGACTCAACAGATTGAAGCATTGACCAAGCAAATGGAAAAACTGCATGAATAATTACATGCTGTCCAATCCACTTCCAATCAACAAATGAGTTATGAATTTTGTGGAGGTGATCATCCAAATGGACATTGCTCTTACCAAGGTAACTTACAAGAAGAAGAAGCTCATTATATGGGTGCTCAAAGTGGTAGTAATCAAGGAAGACAAGGAAATTTTCCTAATTCCAACAACTATCAAAACAATTTTTCACAAGGTTGGAGAGGAAATCAGAATCAGAACAGTGGGTGGAAACAAGGTGCTAGTCCATCTAATAGACAACCTCCATATCAATAACAGTCATATAAGCAACCTCCATATCAATAACAGTCATATAAGCAACCTCCATATCAATAACAGTCATATAAGCAACCTCCATATCAACAACAACAATAACATTATCCTCCAGTGCATGAGAGAACAACTAAATTGAAGGACACTCTGGAGAAATTCATGCAAGCTTCTTTGTCTAGTCATAAAAATACGGAGGCTTCAATAAGAAATCTAGAGCCCAGGTGGGCCAATTGGCTAAACAATTATCCGAGCAACAAGGAGGACATTTTTCAACCAACACACAAACCAATCCCAAGGAGTATTTCAAGTCAATAGTTACAAGGAGTGGAAAAGTTGTAGGTAAGGGAATTAGTGACAATTTAGTTATTGAAGAAGAGGTTTTAAGAAAAGAAGATGAAGAGGGAGAAATTGAATGTGGAGAAGAAGAGGAGAGTAATAAAGAA